CCTGCCCCCCCCTTCCCCACTTACTTCAAGAAACAGGCCGTGTGCTGCTTGGGGTCAAAGGGGCCGAGGTTCACCCGGCAAACCACGGCCCCCAGCGCTTCGCAGTCGGCCACGTCACACGGATACCTCCCTTCTAGAATGTTGTACTTGGCTTCTTCGTACAAGAGTCGCAGGACATCCTCGTCGTGAATCTGGGGATGGGAGCGCGAGAGAAGGGGGGGTGTCACAGGGGGAGCAGAACTCAAGACTCCGAAAAAAGGAAGGCGCACAATCCTTAGGAGGGGGAACGTTAAGAGTGAAACCCACCCACAGCCAAATACAGCTCAGCAAGGATCCTTAATGGACGAAGAGAGATGACTTAGTATGGAAGGATGAATTCCACCCAAAGATAGAGCAGTCCACAATCTTCAGGCATCTGGCAGCCTCCTACACCCATTCCTGCTTCTTGGACAGCCGCACCCAATCCTGCAATCTTCTATCCCCTAAAAAATTCTTAGAAGTACAATTGTGCCTCGCTTAACAATTGCCTCGCTTAACGAGGAAATCGCTATACGATTAGGTTTTTGCGATCGCTTTTGCGATTGCAAAATGTTTTAAATGTTTTTTTTCCGTTTAACAATGATCAGTTCCCTGCTTCAGGAACTGATTCTCGCTTTACGACGATCAGCAAACAGCTGATCATCGGGTTTCAAAATGGCCCCCTGCTGTTTTCTAGGACGGATTCCTCGCTTTACAGGCACTGAAAATGGCCGCCGTATGGAGGATCCTTGTTGGACGAGCAGGTATTCGGCCCATTGGAATGCAATGAATGGTTTTCAATGCATTTCAATGAGGTTTTTTTGTTTCGTTTGATGATGTTTTCGCTCTACAGCGATTTCGCTGGAACGAATTAACATCGTCAAGCGAGACACCACCGTACTTTTTAAAAAAAGAGCTCACATGCACCCTCTAGTGGCTATATATAAAATTTTTAACGCATGTGTCTACAGAGTGTTAGGGGAAGCGTCATTTAAGTCCTTAAGTGCCAAATATAACCTGTAGCTTCTGTGTTGCTACCCCTGGGCCACATCAAACCCTCCAGTTCTGAACCACCACGCGGAGAAGTTCTGCAACCATTAGACTCTCTCCAGCCATCAAGGCTTGAGGGATTCTGAGAGTTGCAGCCCTTCCAGAATGAGCTTGTCTTAAGCTCTGCTGTGAAAGCAAGGCCCAAGATGAAGCCAAGCATGAATACGTGGTGGGTCTCATCCTGCTTCACTGCTCTGCCCTCCCAAATTCACACGTCCCAGTATCAGCTTCTACGGCTCACCTGTAGCTCCTTTCTTCTTGAGAAAAATATGTCTCTTCGGAACTGCAACGACGGCTCATCTGCCAGGGGAAACGGGCAATGAAGACGTTGTGACTCAAGAGTCCAGCTTTCTCAGAAGACAGCCAGAAGCAGGATCTTTTGGGTTTCCCACCCAACAATGCCCTGCATATGTTTGCCAGGAAAACGGACTCTGGCTCCCGGCAGGGTTCTCTCCAAGGACCTGGGCCGTCAAGGACTTTGCCAGGATCTGGCTCATGCAAAGACTCCTCCCGGATCCTGCCCCTGCCAATTCTCTCCAGTCCCAGAGAGAGAAAATGTTATTTTTGCTTTTATGCTTTATAACCCATCTTTTTTTGGGGTTAAATCCTCCCCAAATAGCATGCCAGAAAATGTGAAAACACCGGCCATGACAAAATCGTAGCCGCCTGCCAATTGGTAGCAGGGCATGAGATTTCTGCCAGGCAGAGACGTGAAGGTGCAGCTAATCACTATGGGGGTGGGTGAACACGAAGGGGAAGAGAAAGCTCTCCTTTCTGGATCATGCTCAAAAATCCCCGTGCAGAGCACTTCGATGGCCCACTACTAAAAGCAAAGCAAAGCGTGCTGCTTATATACCGCCCCATAGCGCTTCAAACACTCTCCGGGCGGTTTACAATTTAATTATGCAGGCTACACATTGCCCCCCCCCAGCAAACTGGGTATTCATTTTACCGACCTCGGAAGGATGGAAGGCTGAGTCAACCTTGAGCCGGCTATCTGGGATTTGAACCCCAGGTCGTGAGCACAGTTTTAGCTGCAGTACAGCGGTTTAACCACTGTGCCACGAGGCTCTTTTAGACCCCACTGCCGTCCACTCTGGAAAATGTAGAGCAGAACCCCCAAAGCCCCCTGTTTACCAAGCCTCTCCCTCTGTCCTGCCATGATCTGCTAGGTTTCAGGGGCAGTGCAAGGGTGGGAGACAGCTGGGGGGGGGCGGGCGGAGGAAGTAACGTTGCTCACATCCACACCTTCCAGAATCTCCTCCCCGGAGCAACTGGTGAATCGGAAAAGGAGTTCCTGCCACTGGCGACACAACTTGTAAGGCAGGTGCTTCGGCTTTAGCTGCAACTCTGCAAGAGGGAAAGGAGAGACGAGTCAAGCTGGGGTGGAGAGCTTCCAATGAACTGGGAAACATCCTGGCCCAGTCCTTTAATACAGTGGTCCTCCAACCTTGGGGCCTCCAGATGTTCTTGGACTTCAACTCCCAGAAATCCTGGCCAGCAGAGGTGGTGGTGAAGGCTTCTGGGAGTTGTAGTCCAAGAACATCTAGAGGCCCCAAGGTTGGCGACCACTGCTTTAATACACAAACACACACACACAGAAAACCTCCTGAAAATCTGGGAGGTTCTCAAGTGGCAAACGGTGTCTCCTCCAGTTATGTATCCGGCTGTGGAGTCAGAGGCTGAGAAGGGAAGAGACAGTTTGGGTGGCCTTGGGCCAGCGGTACAGTCCCAGGATGCGCCCCCCCCAAGAAGAAGGATACGGTCAACCACTTCTGAGTATTTTTCTACCTAGAATCCCTGAAAAGGGTCACCATAAGTCAGAATGGACCGGACAGCATATGATGAGGATGATGAATTTATTAAATGTACATACCGCCCCATTGGTGGTGCTGGGCACTATTCTGGGGGGTTAACAAATAATGCAGTGAAAGAAACAACCGTTAACACAGGAGACAGCAATAAAATAATTTTGTTTGTGTGTGTGTGTGTGTGTAATCAGAACAGGCTATTATAAATCTCCAGCACAGCATTTGCATAATAATACCCTTTCCCCCTGAAAAATAAGCCCTAGCATGATTTTTCAGGATGCTCGTCATATAAATCCTCCCCCAAAAATAAGCCCCAGTGAAGTGAAACTCTGCCCTCCACCCTTGTGCAGCAAGCAGAAGATGACTGTATTTGAATCAATGTAGACGGTTGTCCATGAAAAAAATAAAATAAAGCATCCCCTGGAAAAAAAGTCCCCTGAAAATAAGCCGTAATGCGTTTTGTTTTGTTTTTGGAGCAAAAATGAATATAAAACTCTATCTTATTTTTCGGGGAAACACGGTACCCAATAAGCCATAATAAGAGAGCAGGGGCACATAGCAGGGAGGGGGACAGGCGTGGTTGGGAGCTGCTTGCAGGAGGTTGGGGCCACAGCCGAGAAGGCCCGGCTGGCTTCTAGTCGATGCTTTCGTGGCCTCCTTTGGCGTGGCCACTCAAGAGGACCATGGCTTGGCAGGATCTGGTGACACAGATCTATGGAAAAAGTTTGACAGGGTACCAAACCATGGAGGGCTTTATAGGTAAGTCCCAAAACCTTGAACCACAAGCCGGGACAAGAAGGGTCGTGGGTAGGGTTTGGCTCCCTGCGTCCTCAAAGCCCAATGTGTTGCCATAGGGAGAAATTGGGAAAGGAGTCCATTTTTTTCTGAAGAATAGCTCTTGAGGTCGTTCCCCCATTGAAGCAAAATGCTGAGAAAATCCATGCAGATGAAAGGAAGCTCTGACACAGCATATAGTTAAACTACGGAACTCACTTCCACAAGATGCAACGGTCACCAGCGGCCTGATGGGTTTTAAAGACCCATGAGCCATATAAGTTATTTTATTTTTCAATGTATTTTGGAATTTAATGTGATTTACGGAGTTCAATTTCCCCCCACTGGGTCTCTCAGAAGAAGAGCCAGCCTGGGTGGCCCTGGGCAAACTGCACAATCCCAGGGAAACCCCAGAAGGAGGGAAGGACAAACCACTTCTGAGTCCTCCAAACCAGTGGTCCCCAACCTTGGGCCTCCAGATGTTCTTGGACTTCAACTCCCAGAAATCCTGGTCAGCAGAGGTGGTGGTGAAGGTCTGGGAGTTGAAGTCCAAGAACATCTGGAGGCCCAAGGTTGGGGAACACTGCTCCAAACCTAGAAAAGCCTTTAAGAACAGTCACCTTAAAATTGATTTGAAAGCATGCAAGTAATAAATAAAGTATTTTGTGATTGATTCCCCCCACTGTTATCTATGGGTGGATAAAGTGACTGGAGTTATACCCAACCTCGCTGAATTTCATATCATCACTCGTTAAGTTAAAACCGTATCATGTCTTTGCAAGCAGAAAAAGGAATTTGCAACAGGAAAGTAACTTGTAACTAGTTACTTCCACGTTCCGTGGATCAGAGATCCCTTCCTCTTAAAATCAGCACCAAAGATACTTTTCTTGACTAGAATGCCTGAAATGGAGCCGGGGGGGGGAGGTTCATTTGGAGAAAAGGGGAACTGAACAGGGGTGGAGACTGGAGTGGCAGGATTCGTGCTCAAGTCGGACTTAAGTTACACCAGTGGGCTCAACTCAGACTTAACGCATGTTTTTTTCCCCAGTGACTCGGATTCAAATCGCGACTTGGAACCCACCCTTTTTTCTGGAGGAGGGGGGAAAGCTTGTTTTTTAATAGGGGGGCTCAGAGTTAAGGACTCGGTGCCAAAGACCGGCCAACATCCGTGGGAGCAAATAAGGCGTCTCAGGGTCTTACCCAGAAACGGCGAGACGAGCCATAAAGAGAACACCTCCAGGGCGTACTCCGGCAGCCTCAGGGTCTCCACCACGATCCGATGCAGTTCGCGCGCCGTGACCGAAGGCAGGTTGTCCACTATGAGTCGCACAATCGTGTCATCCACAAGGTAGATCAAGACGTCCTGGGCTGGGGGGGGGCAGAGAAAGGAGAGGGGAGAAGATGATGAGTAAATCAATGTACTCTCCTTCTTTTCCTTCCTGCAAACCGAGTCGAGAAGGAGCATCAGGCCCACGGTATGTGATCTCCGGATGTCCGTGCTGTGCGGAGAAGTCACGTTCTCATTTCTGTGTTTCACAGAAACTGGACCCAGAAATCTAGACTTCCTTCCTTCCCTGGCACTGAAAACAAGGAAGTTTTGGTTTAGGGCTGACCCGAGAGGTTTTGCTGCCTGAGGCAGAGGGCAAAATGTCGCTCCTGTCTCTTCCATGCCTAGAGGATTAATGAGCTGGGAAGTTGGCTCTTCAAGGCTGGCAGGTGGGGAAGGGCGCACCTGAGGGCAGAGGGGGAGGCTGTACAGGAAAGACTGTACGACACAGAACAGGTTTTGGCACCAGAATGGAAGGGTGCCACCCCCCAAGAATCTGCCGCCTGAGCTGCTGGTCTCACTCTGCCTGAAGGCAGGGCCAGTCCGGATGTAAACTAAACCCCCAAAAAACAGATGCAACCAAGACAACATCAAAAGGGCTCGTAATTAAAGACCCGGAAGAATTCTCTAGCCGTCGTCCCAGGCCATTTCTGCGAACGAACCCCACCAGAAATCTCCTTTTCTCACTCACTGCGGGGTCCGGCGGAAGAGATGCTGCTCCGTTGCGAACGCTCATCCATGGTGAAGGGTAGAGCCAGACGGTCCCCCTCCATCTGCAGAGACAAACCGGGAAAGGGGGGGGGACATGTTTGGGAGCATGCTCAGTTTAAACCCATAGTGGGAGGCGGACACATGACCCGTTTGGACTCCGACTCCCAGCAGTCTCACTCAGCCAGGGACCGGGTGCAAAGCCCAAGGCAGCCATAACACACATTTTGGGGACCCCCTCCTCCCCGAAGCTATTGCACAGCCCCTCATTCTGTTTAACCCGAGCTCTACCCTCCTGCCTTGACCGGCAGCAACTCTCCAGAAATTCTGGAGAAAGGAGGTCTTTCCCAGCCTTGTCTGGAGACGCCGGTCATTCAGCATGTTCTACGGCCCCTTCCCTAAGGTTCTAGTCCTCATGACGACTGCAAATAAAGGGGGTTGTGTGTGTTTATAAGGAAAGTGACTTTAGGGCAAATCAAACTTATAGCCCATCTTGTGGAGCACTGCCCATCAGAGGTGTCCAGATTTGTGAGTTTTTTTAAAAACACTAGTTGCCTGGAGAATTCTGGGAGTTGTAGTTTTTTAAAAACCCACAAATCTGAACACCTGACATCCAGTCTAGATACGGCAAGAGTCCTGTGGGATCTCAGATCGTCTTTCATAGCTGTAGCTAAATCGTACCGCAGACCGTCTGCATCTGGCCCAACGTCCTCTTTTATTGCCTCTTACTTCTCAAACACCTTTCTCTCCCCCCCCCCCCACAAATCCCATGTCCCAAAAAAAAAAAAACTTGGGGTGTGTGTCAGGGCAGAGCGCATAGCCAGACAACCTTCTTTTGCGTGCGG